TAAGACCAGTAATGAAATCCAGCTTGGCTGCAGAGTTCCCTTAATATGGGGAATCCATCCTCACTCTTCAGTTCCTCCACAACACCAATTTGTTCTGTGGCCAGCAGCAGGATGTCAGGGACGAAATAAGACCCCTAATAATGTTGATAAATCAGACGGAGAGTGGAGGTTTAAACTTTACTGCAGATAAAGGGATAGTGGCTAGGCTGTCACATAGATGACAGATCACAACATAGGCAAAGAATCTCTACCCGAATCCTTGGCACTTGCTCTCCCAACAAGTGACAATCCCCGGGAATCTTTGGGAATCTGTAGCAATGAAACTGGCATGTGGTTAGTACATTTATGCCCAACCTTTCTCACCAGTGGGGACCCCAAAGCTGCTTACATCATTCTCTATATTATCCTGCTGGTGAGCCTGTGAGGCAGGATAGTCCGAGAGTGCATGACGGACCCAAGGTCATACGTTGACAGTGCCAGTATGCTCCAGTTCTCATGATGCCTTGTGCATTCAGTGGCTTTGGCAACAGAGCCCATTGCTCAAGCTTTTAATTGCGTGCATCTGAAGTGCTGTCAAGCCTCAGCTGACTTCTGGGGACCCCAGCAAGGTGAGTGAGAAGCAGAGGTGATTGGCGATTGACTTCTGTAATGATTCCTTGTTTTAAGAGTGTGTGAGTGCCTTTAAGTGTTTGGTTGAGGTACAGTGATAGCAGAGCAGAGTGACTGAGAGAGACAAATGTGCTGTGATTGGTGGATGACAGAGTGTGGGAGGGGTTTTTGAAGTGAATGTGTGTGGGTGATGAGAGTGTCAGTTATGAAAGGCAGTTATGAAAGGCAGTTGGAATTGTTCAGTTGGTGTTCATTCAGTGAGGGTTAACATAGTTCTGTGTGAGATCGTAAAGAGGAGACTATATATGTCCTTAGCCTGAGTGGCTGACTAAAGGAAAGAAGAGAAGAGATTGGATTTATACCCCGCCCTTCACTACCCAAAGGTGTCTCAGAGCGGCTTACAATCCCCTTTCCCTTCCCCTCCCCACAACAGACACCCTGTGAAGTAGGTGGTGCTGAGAGAGCTCTGACAGAAACTGCTCTTTTTCGAGAACAGCTCTTATCAGAACTACGGCTTGCCTAAGGTCATCCAGCCAGGTGCAAGTGGAGGAGTGGGGAATCAAACCCAGTTCTCCCAGATTAGAGTCCGCACACTTAACCACTACACCAAAAGAGTGAATCCTGTTAATGTTGGAACTGAGTGTAAAACAAACAAAAGTAAAGGGAAAAAAGGCTGTGTGTTTGATACATTTGCACAACATATTTACAAGTCCCTTTATCTTAAACAGTTACAGGATAACCAACCTCTGATTTTTGTTCTTAGTTCAATAAACCATCTTTTGTTTAAGGTACCCCACAACTGAATTCAGTCCTTCCTCATGACCACATAGATCCCTGAAAAGCCTAGACCCTGGGTTACTTTACCAGAAAGAGGAACAGAGAGAAGGTTTGGAAATCCTTAAATTCCTGGTGGCAGCTGAATCTACCCAGTTTAAAAAAGGAAGAGCACATTTAAAGGGAAAACCAGTCCTCCCTAATAAGAGGACACCACACCTCCCCCTGCAGAGTCTTCCTTGGTGGTCTC